CAATTCGTAGGTTTTGGCCGGCGGGGTGGTTTACTCCTACTGGCTGGGCATCGTTGTAAGACCAAGTCGTAGGTCTTGGTGTTCGAATCGAGTATCAGTAGTAGTCTATGTATAGGTGTGCACATGAGTCTGATTATTGTGATTATTGATGGGAGAATGGGATAGATTATTGCTTCGTATACATGTTGAGACCATACCTTTCGATTATTGATTACTGTTTATTATTGAAGCTAACATTGCTGCATAGTGGTGAGCACTACTGTTTTTTCTTGTGCTCATCCCCACCTGCTCTTCATGGATGCAGGTTAGTATGGCGGGCACGATGAAGGGAAGCGAGTGGTGGTCATAAAAATTATTATTGCTTCCGCTTAAAATTTAATTATTGTTATTATTGTCTTATTGATTACTGGATTATTGATAGAGAATGTATTCCCTAGGATTGAATGAGAATTGGATAATTGGATTGGTTATTGATTATTGAACTGAACTAGTGTTGGATTATTGATTATTGATGAATGAGTACTGAAGATTGAGTATTGATGATTGATAAGTATTGATTATTGATTTGAAAATGAGTAGCGCCTCAAGTGTTTTGAATAAATTTTGAAAAATTTATTCTTATTTTCGGCAAATAAAAGTGGGGCGTTACAAGTATGTAGAGAGTTGATGATCGTATCCACCCCTTTATATAGCAGTGTTAACTTGTTGCCCAGGATCTGCCCCACCTTGGTGCCCGAGTGCCAGAACAACACGATTGTACTTGTCGGACTGCCCCCCGATTTAGTTACATGCATGTCCTTCTTATCCTACTTATATTGTACTTATCCATTATCTGGTGAGTTTACATTAGCACACTTCATTAGGTGGTTGTTCTAAGTATAGCCGAGTTAGCAGCTCGGTTTCTGTGCTTTGTTGTTCTGGTCTTTATTAAGTAAGTCCCTTTTTTAGGTCTTCCAATGACCGCTTTACTTCCAGGTCGAGCTTCCATCCGACTATTCTACAGTTCTAGCTCGACTTGTAGGTGAAAAAGTTTAACTCGCATGACCTCATCGACTTGGAACTCTATCGACTTGATTCTCCATGCTTATCGACCTCTAAACGAGCTCCCGGTCCACTCAAATCGCTCGATCTGGTCTCAAGTCTTACACAACCTAATAGATGGTATAGTATACCATATGATATGTATACTTCGATTGTTGTATAATATAACTTGATTGCCTTTATATATAGTTTAGTTGGACATTAATTACAGTAACCTAAGAGCAAAAAAATATATGGCTCCAATAAATTTTGCTAAAGATGAACTTGTAACTTCATCAATTGGGGATCTATCACACACATCAAGCAGCCACGAATATTAAATTGTTAACGGAATATATTATTAACGACTGCAGTCTATATATCATTTATACTAATCACAAAATTTAGAAAGAAAGTCGAATAATATGGGGTTTTTGATTTTTTCACCTAAACTTGACATCAACAATAAAACAACATATCAGTATCACTCCAACATATCATCTGATCTGATACAATTTTTCGTTTTTTTCTGCCTCGAGACACTATACTTTGCATGAGGCAACAAACTAGAGAACAAAAAAAAAAATATATATATAAAAAATAAAAAA